CTCTCGCTCTATCTATCATCTATCTATCTATCTATCTATCTATCTATCTATCTATCTATCTATCTATCATTGTTGTTATGTGAGTTGCCTATGACTCATATACAATATACAATAGCCCTAAACTCTGCTCTATCTCGTGCCAATCTTATTGTCTCTGACACACCTACCCCCATTACCCCAGTCACTGAACCAATCCATCTCATTGAAGGTCTTCCTCTCCTGCGCTGTCCCTCTACCCTGCTGAGCATGATGTCCTTCTCCAAGGACTGGTCTCTCCTTGCATCATGTCCCAAGTATGTCAGAAGAAGCTTAAGAATCCTTGCCTCCAAGGAGCAGCCTTTCCAGAATGAACATGTTCATTTTCTTAGCAGTCTATGGTATATTCAATACTCTTCTCCAGGACCACAGCTCAAATGCATCAATTCTCCTTCTATCCTCCCTAGTCATTGTCCAGCTCTCTGATGCATAGCAAGTGATTGCAAAGACCATGGCCTGTATAAGGTGCACCTTAGTCTCCAGAGTGACACTATTGTTCTTCAGTACTTTGGAGAGGTCCCTAACAGCAGACCTTCTCATCACAATATGCCTTTTAATTTTCTGGCTGCTGGTGCCAAGAGTGTTGACTGTGGAGTCAAGCAAACTAAAGCTGTGAACAATCTCAATCTCAGCACCATCCATCCTGATGCTGCCAATTGGCCCAGTGGCGAGATCTTTGTCTTCTTGATATTGAGCCTCAATCCATATTGAAGGCTGCAGTCCTTGACCTTCTACACAAGTGCTTCAGGTCCTCCTCAGTTTCAGCAAGCGGGGTTGTGCCATCTGTATAACGCAGATTGTTGATGAATCTTCTTCCAGTCCTAATGTCACCCTTCTCCTCATAGAGTCCAGCCTCCCGGATAATCTGTTCTGCCTACAGGCTGAAAAACGTATGGAGACAGGACACATCCCTGGTGTACACCCTTCCCAATTTTGAACCCTGCAGTTATATATATATATACACACACACACACACACACACACACATATATATATACACACACACATACATACATATATATATACATATACACACACACATATATGGTGTGTGTGTATACATATATATATATAATTTTGTTTGTTTGTTTGACCTTTGGTTTAGCACTAATCCCAGATTATTTTGGTCTCTGAATTCAGTGTAGCTAAAAAATTGTAACTTATATAGTTTTACATCTGGTTTAATTTTTTTTCCATGTCTTGGTTATTTTTCAGAAGTTTTATGAATCACACTAATATTTAGACAATACTGAAACAGAAATCATGAACACAAAAGATTTTGTAGTCCTTCCATGGGGAAAACCTGGGAATTCTGTGAAGCTGAAATACAAGTAAGTAGACATAGATTTTTACTTAAATAGAAATAATTGCCCAGTTTTTATGTAAACTGTCCTTATTGTATAATATTGTTTGGGTTTGCACACAATCTTTGTGAACTCTTATCCATGTTTTCTTCATATTGTTGTACATTTATCTATAAGAGATTAGACTGGAAATGATGTATACTCTACATATGAAATTGAGACATTATATATGAAAAGTGGGCTCATTAACTATTGGAGACCTATAACAGGAAGTTGCAAAGAATTTCATGACTCTTATTCAATACCTGATTTTTATTCTGGATGTTCAATAAGGAATTAATCTGAAATTTAAGTAAAAATGGAAATGTAAGGAGAAATCTGACTTAGAAATCTTAGGAACCTTTTACATGTAGAGGAAAACACTAAATACCCTAACACTTCACGTAGTGAAAGATGATGTAGTGAACTTGTCTTGGCCAGGAATGGGTACTGGGGTTTTTATCTAGTATTTCTAGGTGGAAATACCACATGTGGCTAGCTTTAATGAACAGAAAGTGATTTTCTCACAATTTAAAGGACTGAAAAGTGACTTTGGGGTGCTTGGTCTAGGAGATGTGTGCCTCTGTAGGGGAAAAATTTTAATAATTCTCTCAGTTTCTGTCTGCAGACCTTCCATGTCTCCCTTGGTTTCTGTGCTGCCTTCTTCTCGCCTGCTTGCCTGAGCTGCCCTTTTACTTTCTAAAAGTGATTGCCTTACAGGACATCCCACACTGACAGAGCCTTTTTAGCATGACACAGAAAATCTTCTGCCCAAAGGGGATTAAATCTACATGGCTAGGATGCCAGTACATGTTTTTAGGGGTTACAGTAGTGGTAAGAAGCTGCATTGGGATCACAAAGGCGCGTGATTCCAATCTACCAGCTGCTCTGTGGGAGAAGGAATATTCTCTCCTGTACAGTTTAATACCTCTGAAAACCCACTGGATGGCCAGGTGTGGATTAGTTTTGATTGGATGCAACCTAAGAACAACAGCGTCCAACCCACAAGAGGTCCCTTCTGTCTTAAATTAGTCCTAAGATAACATTCGATAAGAGGTAATTCCTGGGAATTTCATATTATTTCTTTGGTGTCAGAGTATCCCACTCTCTGAGTGTTGATTGCACTTTTTCTCTTTGAAATTACTTAGAGTAACAGGAAATATCTAGTACCTTCTCCTCAGATATCACTGAGGGCCAGCCAGGATGGGTTGGGACAGACTGTCGATTTTTAATTTTAGTGTCCGAGTTGCCTGACCTGGATCAATACTTGTGCTGTTATTCAGCATTTTCAGAACTTTCTTAATGTCTTCTCCACTTTTGAAGTACTGTGTGTAAAACCACTGTGTAAACAGGAAAATGTTATAGAGATACATGGCAATTATCATTGTTAGAGGTAACATCTCTTTGAAGAAGTTACAAGGGTTATTGAGTTGCTAGTGCTAACATTTTTTTTAATTGAAAAAGAGAAAAGGCAGGCAGTCTATACTATTTTCAAGAAGTCTGAATATTTATATAAACATTAATCTCAGAAATCTATTTTAAGAGCATACAAAAGTAGGATGTCCCTATTGATCCTAATAGATAGGTAATATTACATTGTGTTTACAGTGTAGCCTGAAAAAAAAAGTGGTAAAATAGTGTGATCACAGGGGGCTGTGAGAATATAACCGAAAATAGCATAGGGATGAAGAAATCTACCGAGTTTTGCCTAAGAGACATGGTCATTAGATGGGTAATTAATTATTGGGTGAAAACTGTGCCAGATTAAAAAAAAAAACTGAATGAGGACCTTTTGAAATATCCAGATAACTAAAGCTTGCAGAACAAATTTGAAGAGATGATGCTAAAGTATTTGGATTTTATCCTGGAGATGAGAGTTAATTGATTATGTGACCTAGACTCAACCATGTTCCATAGTTTCCAGTCGATGAATACCCACTCTGTGGTCATTGCCCTGGATTCCTCAGTCTTACTTTCCTTCATTCACGTGGCAATGTTTTCATTTCTTTCTTCTCTTCTTCTGGTATTCTTTACCTCCATTCCATGCTCCAACTCCACTTGAATCTCACTGCTAGCACTTGGATTAGTTAGTTAGTTAGTTAGTTAGTTAGTGAGTTAGTTAGTATTCGCATACTTTTCTAGAATCATTTCTGGCTGTCACCAGTACCTTTGCCTGATTTCCTTGCTCTGTGTCCAAGACTGTCTCCAGGAGATGTCCTTTGTTATGTGATAGCTCTGTGCAATCCAACCATGAACTTGATCACTGTGTGTGTGAACCAGTACTTTCTTTCCCTCCTCCCTCCTCTGTGTTCCTCCTGCCTCCTCCAACTCTCGCTTAGAGGACTTCAGAAACATTTAATTTTCTAACCAGAGGTGTGACACAGTCACATTTGTGCATTTGACCTCTTTCCTGGCCACAGCTAGAAAGGATGGTGAAGCATTGTGGCAGGATGTAGGTGAGGACAGCAGCTGGAGGGACCAATCCTGGATTATGTCCTCCGCCCACCCCACAGTCTCCTGGTTCAGGAGGCCCCGCTGCCTCCTCTGTGCTCCCGTAGAAGGCTTGAGCTTAGTCTGAGATTTCCCTTTTGGCTAGGCCACAAGTCCAATTAATTCTGTTTCTTTGCATTTCTGAGAAGCTTTCACTTTTTTCCTTCATTGTCTTTGTACAGCCAGACTAGCATAATCTCTGCATTATTTGGAATTTGTTTCTGAGGGCACATCTCATCAAATACCTACCCGCTTCTACCCTGCGTGGTCTAATCATTTAGAGTGATAGGTCTAAAATACAGACAGGATCATTTTTCTTAGAAGTCTTTTTTTTTTTTTAATTCCCCAAAATTTATTTTTTTTTAATTCATTTTAATGAAAGTTCACAGAGATTTTGGATTTCCATTCATTCATTTGTTGCATGTTTCTCCCTGTCCGCTCCTCCTCCCTCCCCTCCAGTTTACTCGTCTCTTTTTAGAGACAGTTTAACTGCATGGGAGAAGATTGCCCACCTTTCTTCCGTGGAGCAGCTAGTGGATTTGAACCAGGTGTCTTTGGAATTTCAGTGCAGTTGGGCTCTTGGTCCTACCAAAGCCCTAATCCTATGTAAGAGGAGTATTCCCTGAGGAGTGGCCTGCATCTCCTTTTATCTTAGGAGAGATAAACAGAGATAGAAAGCTCAGCTCATTTACAACCAAAAAAAGACATCTGGGAGTAGCCCAGGTCCTTTGCATATTAGTCTCTGTGCTGAAGCTCCTTCATACAAGAGGCAACAAAGAAATATGGAGATCTCTAAGAAATGTCAGTACTGTAGAACAGACAGAGGAAGAACACCTTCTAGAGCCAACACCTTAAATTGGGTCTTCTACCCTCCTTAACTGAGAAGGAATACATTTTCTGTGTGGTAAGGCCTTTCAGTGGTGGTATCACTCTCATGTTGTTATTGTTAGCTGCCCTTGATTTGAAAAGGCCTCATAGCAACCGTATGAACAGCAGACCTGAATCTCACTCTATCACTTTTAAAACAACACTAATAAATCAAGGCACCTTGATTAAAGAAAATTCAAATCGAAGGAAAATGTTAGCTTTGCACTTTGCCTTTCAGAAGAGTTCAAACAAAGTATAGAAATATTTTACCAATTTTGATTTAAAGAAAAATATCTTGTTGTCTTGGTATTTTATTGTTACACTCACCTGTCCCATTTTTATCCCAAATGAGTATTTTGCGTGTACATCTTTTTTCCTTTAGAGATGTTCGAGAACTGAAGGTGGAGAAAGTGCAGTTGGAGTTGGAGAATCAAGCGTTGGAAAAGAAACTACGAGAATTGGACTCAGCAAGGAACAAAGAAGGGGACAAAAGAGAGTAGGTGAAACCTTGAGAGAATATTAGAGGAATATATTGAATTATATAATGAAGTATTTTATACATTGTAATTCTAATGCAAATCTTTATTGAAGGAGTAATTTATGGCTTTCCCCCATGAAGAAAAATTAGGAAGTTTCTGTTCAATTTTATTTTTATGTCTTATATAGCATTTATATTTTTTATTTTATTTTTATTTTTTTTATATTTCTTTTCTTTTAAACCTTTTATGATGGAAATTATCAAACAATATCATATGCAAGCAAGATTCTGCTGAAAATTATCCAAAAATAACTAGAACTGTACATCAACAGAAAACTGCCAGATGTGCAGGCTGGGTTTAGAAGAGGCTATGGTACTAGGGATATTAGAGCTAATGTTAGATGGATCTTGGCTGATAGCAGAGAGTACCAGAAATGTATATCTGTGTTTCATTGACTGTGAAAAGGCATTTAACAGTGTGAATCCAAACAAACTGTGGCTAACTCTGGAAAGCTTGGGTTTCCCAGAACACTTAATTGTGCTTATGTGAAACCTATACTTGGATCTGGAGGCAGTCATCAGAACAGAGCAAGGAAACACTGCATGCTTTAGAATTGGGAAGGGTGTATACCAGATATATGTCCTTTCTCCATCCCTTTTCAATTTATATGAAGAACAGATCATACAGGAGGCTGGGCTTTGTGAGGAGGAATGTGACATCAGGATTGGAGGAAGACTCATCAACAAATTGTGTTACGCAGATAACACAACCATGCTTGCTGAAACTGAAGCACTTGCTGCAGAAGGCCAAGGACTGCAGCCTTCAATATGGATTGAAGCTCAACATCAAGAAAACAAAGATTGTCACCCACGGGCCAATTGGCAGCATCAGGATGGATGGTGAAGAGATAGAGATTTTAACAGTTACTTGGTTTAGTAATCAACACTCTTGGCACCAGCAGCCCAGAAATCCAAAGACAAATTGCATTGGGAAAGTCTGGTATCAGAGACCTCTCCAGAGTGCTGAAGAGCAATGATGTCAGCCTGGAGACTGAAGATGCAACTGATCCAGGCCATGGGCTTTGCAATCACTTGTTATGCATCAGAGAGCTAGACAATGACTAGGGAGGATAGAAGGAGAATTGATGCCTTTGAGCTGTGGTGCTAAAGAAGAGTATTGAATATACCAAGACTGTTAAGAGAACAAACAGGTTTTTTTATGGAGAGGGTGAGACCAGGCTGCTTCTTGGAGGCAAGGATTCTGAAGCTCTGGTTGACATACTGTGGACATGTTGCAAGGAGGGAACAGTCTTTGGAGAGGGATATTATGCATGGGAGGATGGAGGGACAGTGCAAGAGAGGAAGACCCTGGATGAGATGGATTGACTCAGTGACTAGAGAAATGGGGGGTATGTGTGTCAGAGACAGTGAGGTTGGCTCAGGATAGAGCAGGGTTCAGAGCTGAGCTGTTGTACTTAGGTTGCTATGAGTTGCAGCAACATAATGGCACATAACAATAACGATTTGGAATATTTAGGATAGGTATTTAAGCTATGATTTTTTTTCTCTCATATGATTTTAATCAACATTAAATTAAAACTAGTTTATTTTAGAGTTATTTTTATTTATTGTTTTGAAGGCTCTTGTATGTAATTTTTATAAAGTTTATTTATATCATTAGTGTGTTTGAAATTTTTCTAGCAAATATTCATTTTATGACATTTTAGCAGTGTGCATTTGTTTTGACTATATTGAGAAGGTTTTGTGGTTTTTTAAAAATTTATTTTATTTTTATTATTTTTTGTGTGTGTACATAAAATTGGATCTGACTGGTATAGGAGGAGACGGCCCCTCCTTTTCCAGGCTGGATTAGAACCGCTCACCTCTGGGATTGCAGTGCAACTTCTTGCCACTAGGCCACCAGAGCTTGCCTGAGCAGTTTTTCTGTAAACATTGTAAATATGAAAATTTAAGTGTAGCCAATTGATATCTAATAAAAGTATTCTTAGAGAAAAATCTCATTTTCTAGAACCACTTTGAACAATGGAAAACTGTTTCCTACAAGTGTCTTACTTTTTAAATTGTATTTATTTTTCTGTGTGTGTGTGTGTACTGTCAAATTAGATCCGACTGGTACACGAGGAGATTGCCCCTCCTTCTCCAGCAGAGCATCTGGTGGATTCAAACCGCTTGCCTCTGGGGTTGCAGTGCAGCTTCTTGCAACTAGGTCGCCAGAGCTCCCTACGTGTCTTATTTTTGTGTAATATTCTTTACAAACAAAGGGACTCTGGTGGCCTAGGCTAAAGGAGTTGCAGTGGAAACCCAAAAATACATGGTTCAAATCCACCAGCTGCTCTGTGGGAGAAAGATGGGCAGTCTCTTCCCATGTGATAACTGCCTCTGAAAACCTGCTGGAGGGTCAGCTAAGGGTCAGTTCCAAGTAGATAAGAAACAACAAAAGTTGTATATACATGTGAGTTGCGTGTAGTCATGTGCACTTGGCATATCTTTAACATTTTACAGTTGAGATCATTCATAAAGTATGTAGATTGATTCATATGCTGCTTTTTTGCATCATAATATCTCTGTACTCTTGCCATAATAATACCCACTGATCTAAATAATTATTTTTGTGGTTGCATAGTATTTCTTTGTATGCATATAAGGGCTTTATTTTTTCATATCTTTATTATTTTCAGTATATTCTGATTATATTTGCTGTTGTGAGTATCACTCTACACATTTCTTTCTTGAAAACTTCTGTAGGCTAATATTTAATTGTGTTATTTCAGGCCACAGTATATTTACATTTTACGTTCTGAATGACATTATGGAAGGGTCTTTCAAATAGATTTTAACAGCTTATTCAGGCTGTTCGTTCATAGGGTCGCTATGAGTCGTCTACGACTCGATGGCATTAAACAACAACAACAACAACAACATACCTATGCATGTAGAGTATGATAAAACATGTCATATATCATTTCTGTTAGTAAATATCACCATAATCTTTGTATGTTTAATTTAGTTTAGATTTATGCTTAAAATGATGATCTTCAAATACCTATGAAGCACCTTCTGAAGCTGTAAAACAAATTTAAATATATTTATTAAGATATATTCCCTGTATTAAACATTTATCATTAGGCTCTGTTTTTATATGCTATGCACTAAGATTAACAGCACAGTGTTAATCAGAAACTTCAGGTCCACCTAATCATAAATGCTCATGCAGTTATATGAGTCCATATTGACTGATATTAACAGTTCTATCTGTGGCTTAGTTCTCCAGTTCCTCTGTGGTTTTGGGGGTTTGGTGAAAAGATTTGCTGGAAGGTCCCACAGAGACTCAGACACATCAGGGGAATGACTCAACAGGATTGCAAGTGTGCTGGCCAGTTTTTTCACAGAACCTGGCAATCCATTGTCTTTGCTGGATGCTGCTGGAAGCCTAAGCAGTTACACTCCCACTCCTGTGTTAGTGTTTTCACACACACATCAGTGTGGGGAATGCTCTCATATATTGACCCTGCAGCTGTTGCTGATTTGCAAGACCATGCAACCGGAGTAGTTGGAGACCACAGGGCTCTGAGGTAATGACTAAAAAAACCCATCGTTAGGCTAACATCACAGTCAAGCCCATAGATATTTTAATTTCCCATTACCTAAAGGATCAACCTCCCCTTTTACCATCATCTATATTTAGGGAAATTTTACTCCACCCATTTTAGAGAGTCCACTTCTGATTTGCCCACTCCTGTCAAACTAGTACTCTGAGGAAACAAGCATATCTTTATCTGTAAAGAGTCTCCTATTACAAATGAAACTTCCAGTATTCACATCCATAAACAAAGGTCCAGTCCAGAGCAAACCATCAGGTAACAGTAATTAATACTAGTTTTCAGAATGAAGCATCTTTTCTTCATCTGGTTGGGTTCCACTCAGCTCTCTGTGGCTGGGGACTCAGGAGTCCACACTTCTTCCTGTGTTTCAGACTGGCTGGTCCCCTCACTTAACCTCAGCCACACATGGGCCAAGGCAACACACGAGGGATTCTCAGTAGCCCTTGATCCACAAACGGGCAGCATTTATATATCTACTTATCATACGAGATGGACCGTGCTGAAGGAGCAAGTCCAAGCTCAGCTCAGCTCTTCATTATTGCATATCTTCTACTTCCGCCCATCAGGTGGGCACAGGTGGTCATCATGAGGTTAAGCATTACCACCCCCCCTCCCCCAGCTTCTTTTAACCTTAAAGTCCTGCAAAGGGAGTTCTGATGCCTTCTCCTTCCTCTCACTAAGTAGACCCAGGTGGTCAACGTGAGTTAATCACACTCATCAGCTCTATCTTGCCACTATTTATTGGCAAACTCTTTTCCTAGTTGTCTTCTTTCTAATGTAACTGTCCTCAGAGTACTGGGTGAGATTTAACCTTTCTTAAGCTTAACTTCACATTCTATACCAAATGCTACTACTTTCTCTTAGCATTCTTTTAGGGAGATTTTTTTTTTCTTTTTTAATTTCCTATTAATATCCAACTGGCTTACATTTTCCTCTAAATTACAATGTGCCTCATCATTATAACGTCTAGTATTCATCCCGTGTTGCTACGTCAGTACAAGTATATGATACTTCTTACAATAAAAATCTTCATCATTTTTACAGTATGTCTTAACATTTATGAACAAAAACCCCTCAAGCAGAAACAGCAATTTTAATACAGATAAATAAGCCAAAAACCTTAACATGTAAATCTTTCAAGTAATTAACAGTTTCAGTGTCATTCTCTACCCTTTTTTCTTAGGCATAAAGCCAAATTTTCTTTCCATCTTAATAGAAGCAAAAGTAAACTTTTGGGTTGTCTTTCCCACTTTATAGAAATAAACAGTCACCATTTTAACTTGGGAACATCTTTCCAAGCCTCACATTAACAAAACTAAACCATGTTTCTCTGAGTTTGAAACAACAAACCCCACCTCCTTCTGACACCAGTTGCAAAAAGAGCAGATGGAAAGTGTAGTTGGTGGCCAAATCTGACTTGTACTTGCTTCATAAGTGAGAACTGTTCCCTCCAATACTATCCATAGCACCAAGTAATGCTCTGCTTGGTCAGACACGACACCCCCATGCTCCTGCACCTCTTTCTACGAATCATTTGGGTCTCATATTCGTTGTTGACTCACAGACTCTACTCATAATTGTTTGTGATACCAAGAGTTGGGTTTGTTAGGGAAGTAAATTGGACAGTGGGAGAGGAAAATAATATCACCCAATGAAAGTCCAGGTTTTAGCTCAGAAGTCCCAAGGCACATTTCTTCTATTAGACCAGTCTCTGGGTTCAGTCCAGTGGTCAGCTCTTCCTTCCATCATCTGCTAAGAACAGCAACACTTTTAACTGTGGCCTTTAGTTCATGGCTTCTCTGGTCACACCTTGCCACAGTTTCTCTACCAGCAATGCCATTGTCTCTGCACCACCATCACTTGGGTCTTCCTACCAGAGTCTTACTCCAGTAACCCTCAAGACTTTCTGCTCAGTGTGGGAAGCATTCTCTCTTTTATCCTAGTCCCACAGCTGTTGATTGATGATCTGCAAAACTGTGTGTCTTCAGTTAAGATAGCTGAAGACCAGAGGGGAGTAATACGATGGTTAGACAACCAAGTTGTAAGCCACCAACTCTGAAAAAATATGCACAGCATACACATTTCTCTACTAATTGGAGTACTGATTTAATCAAGGTATTTATGTTGTATATCGTGTCAGGTGGCAAAGTTTATGCAATTTCTTCCTGTTCTTCTTTTCAATGATTCTTAGCCAGTTCTTTTGCTTTTCCTACTTTGGACTTGATTTGCACTTTTTAGTGAATCTTAGTTTTCCTTGGAGAATCAAATTCTTAACATCAGCTCCCAAGAATGTATATTTTTTTTTTTCTTAGCTAAGGAATATTTTCTAAGATTTTTAAAAGCAGTACTGAAGTTTGGCTGAGTTTTCAGAATAGCAAAATGCTTTTCTAAACTAAGGTCACACTGATAGTAAATGTCATAGCCAGAATGAGGACCTGCCACTCACCGGCCAGGAAGATAGAAGCCCAGTGTTCTAATCTTGGCATTAGTATTTGTTATCTGTGTGACCTTGGTCAAGTTTTTACTTCATTACATTTCAAGTGGAAATTGCACTTCCTGCTTTAGTGACTTAAAAAAAAATAGAATGTGAGTTTCAAATAAAAGTGCCTTGAAAATGGTAAAACCAAAGTTAGCCTTCCTTGCAATATCTGTCACCTTTCAATGTAGGCACTTTTAAAAACTTTTAATGAGGAGTTCAACACACATCAGGTCTGCTGAATATTTCTCCTTGTTATTTATTTCCTTTTCCTCTTCACATTCACACACCCGTGGCTTTTAAAACTGTATAACAATCTTTAGTGTTTTCTATAAATCAATAAAGCTACCTTTAGTCATTGTAATTGTATGAAAAATGAAACTCTCCATCCTTGTTTAGACATTTAACTTTTATTCCTTCCACTACAGAAGTCACAAATATGCTAAAACTATATTTTAAAATTAGTGAGAATATTCTGACATTACTGATATTTTATTTTAATTCTGTGGTTGACTGGTACATGTTAACAACAACTGAATTTCCATTTCCTGAAACAGGGAAAATGTATTTGTTTTCATTAAAAGGAGAAGTATATTAAGTAATTACATTTTGTTTTCCTTTTATATATCTGAAGGTCAAATGGATGCCATTGGAAATCAGGACAAGTGGGCAAATTGAGTAATCGATCACACATGATGCCACAAAATAAAGGAAATGTTATTAAGGTAAGAAGATGCCATTTGATTCTCAGGCAATTTGATAAGCAAGAAAACATAAATTACTTTTTTTTCAGTCTTGTGTTCCTTTTCATTCTTAAAAGCCTACTAATCTTGTTTCAACCATGCTTACTTAGTGTTAGATTATTTATTTATTCTCTCATAGATTATTTATTGTGCAACTTTTATCCCTCAAATGTATTTGTCATTTTATTATCTATAAGTTAATTTTTAAAAATTTAGTTTGAAGAACATTAACTTTTGTGCTATGTACTTCACTCAGTTCAATATGTGAACTAATTCTATATTAAGCTTATGTTTTTGATATAAGAAACAATAGACTTTTTTCTTTTTTATAGTAGTATATGTGTTTAAATATTCTATAAGCTGTTTAAATAATAATTTATATACAGTTGATTTTGTGTAGGAATGTTGTTGTTGTTGTTGTTGTTATGTGCCATCGCGTCACCTGCGACTCATAGCGACCCTATGTACAACAGCCCTAAACTCCGCTCTGTCCTGTGCCAATCGCACTGTCTCTGACACTCCCATCCCAATTATCCCAGTCACTGAATCAATCCACCTCATAGAGGGCCTTCCTCTCCTGCGTCGTCCCTCCACCCTCCCAAGCATGATGTCCTTCTCCAAGGACCGGTCTCTCCTCACAACATGTCCAAAGTAAGTTAGACGGAGCCTCAGAATCCTTGCCTCCAAGGAGCCACCCGGTTTAACCCTCTCCAGGACAAATCTGTACATAGGGTTTTCAGAGGCCTGCTATTTCAGAAGTGGATGGTCAGTCCTTCTTCTTAGTCTGTCTTAATGTGAATGTTCAGATTTAGAGAAGTATTAGACAGACCAGCAAGTTAAAGGTATATCCCTTCTTGCGGAGTTAACTTTAGTGTCAGTGTTGTCCCTGCCTTTCTCACATGCACCTTTACGCACTTATTTCCTGCTTCACCATCCCACGGGATATCCCTCCACTTCTACCCCCTCCCTTCACATCTATCTCCCTTTCACCAGCCCTCCATCTAATAACTTATATATGAAGCTTCCGTGGCTTCTGTGATTTCAAACACATCAGCTGATGATAGTTCCTTATGTTGGGATCAGTGTCTCTGAAGTTTAGTCGCAATATTTATCGGTCAAAGGCGATGCATCCTGTAGAATGGCTGTGTAGATAGGCTTTTTTTGGACCGAGGGCCGCAGGGCTTTTGGCGTCTCCAAGTACCTGGGAAGATAGGGTGGGTCTGCGAGGTCTGCTGGCTGTCCTGTGAGGTGCCCAACTTCAGCTAGTCAGAGCCGAGCCTCTGTTGTGACCTTTCTGCCGGAACAGATACTAAAAATTACTTTTGAATTGCCCAGTATATAATTGCTTTAACATTACTGTATTATAAAAGTAGCATTATATTATTTTTAAGATTAAAACCATATGTGTGTCTCCTTGTAAAGAATATGGCTTTGTTTCTGAATTCTTAGCTATAAGATCCGTGACTTTGTAAATTTTAAGTTATATTGCTTTTTATTTTTTTTATATACCTATCGTTAAACTTTCATTGGTCCATTTGGCTTCTGCAAACATTTTATTTGGTACTTCTAACACTGTGGCTTTTAAAGTGTAATTTATTTTTTAGTCTCATTCCTACTGAGATTGGATTATTTGATTTTTTGGATTAAAAGCTTTGTAACACACTTTCCAGTTTTCTATTAACTGTAGGAGGGAGGTTGTTGTTGTTAAGTGCCGTTGAGTCGCCTGCAACTCATAGTGATCCTACGTACAACAGCCCTAAACCCTCTTCTATCTTGTGTCTCTGACACCCCTTCCCCCATTACCCCAGTTACTGAATCAATCCATCGCATTGAGGTTCTTCCTCTCCTGTCCTGTCCCTCCACCCTCCCAAGCATAATGTCCCCCTCCAAGGACTGGTTCCTCTTTCCAGCATGCCCAAAGTATGTCAGATGAAGCTTCAGAATCCTTGCCTCCAAGGAGCAGCCGGGCTTCACCCTCTCCAGGATGAACTTGTTTGTTCTCCTAGCAGTCCATGGTATATTCAGTCCTCTTCTCCAGCACCACAGCTCAAAGTCATCAATTCTCTTTCTGTCATTCCCTAGTCATTGTCCAGTTCTCTGATGCATAGCAAGTGATTGCAATGACCATGGCCTGTATCAGGTGCACCTTAGTCTCCAGACTGACATCATTGCTCTAAGTACTTTGGAAAGGTCTATGACAGCAGACTTTCCCAATAGAATATGTCTTTTAATTTCCTGTCTGCTGGTTCCAAGAGTGTTGACAGTGGAGCTAAACAAACCAAAGCTGTGAACAATCTCAATCTCTTAATCATCCATCACGATGCTGCCAATTGGTCCAGTGGTGAGAATCTTTGTCTTCTTGATGTTGAGCTTCAATCCATATTGAAGGCTGCAGTCCTTGACCTTCTACAGCACGTGCTTCAGGTCCTCCTCACTTTCAGCAAGCAGGGTTGTGCCATGTGCATAACATAGATTTTTTTTATGAGTCTTCCTCCAATTCTGATGCCACGTTTCTCCTCCTAGAGCCCAGCCTCTTAGAAAATCTGTTCTGTATATAGATTGAAAAGGTATGAAGATAGGACACATCCCTGGTGTAAACCCTTCCCAGTTTAGAGCCATGCAGAGTTTCTTTGTATTGTTCCATATTTCAGTATTCAGATATTCTTGTGTATATTGTTGATGTGGGCTATTGAGGTGGAACTGACCCATAGCTGATGGATCAATTTACGTATTATTTTATGGCATATATACATTTATTACATTTATATAATATGTAAAAAAATGCTAAGCTTTTCTGCTTCTTGTTCCATTAGTATTCATTGTTGTTATTTGCTGTCAAATGGATTATGACTTGTAACGACCCTATGAACAATAGCTCTGGACCCTGCCCTATCTTGATCCAGTTTCACTCTTTCTGACACTCCTGTCCCCACTAGCACAGGGCTCTTTTTCTATGACTGTTTCCTGGTTTAAGCACAAGTTTTGCATGAGCACAATCAAGTGTTCTAGGATTCCCAATCTTCTCAATGATAGCAACAACTTGTTGTGGTCCACACAGTCATACGGTTTTTTTCCATACTCAATAAAATACAAATAGACATTCATCTGACACTCTTGCTTTCAGCCAAGATCCATCTGACATTGACAACGATGTCCCTAGTGCCGTGGCTTCATCTATACCCAGCTTGTATTTCTGAGAGTTCTCCGCCACTCCAGTTGTTTTTGGATAATCTTCAGCAGGATTTTACTTGTAATGAATTAGTGATACTGTTCAATTATCTCCACACTCTATTGAATCACCATTTTTTTGGAAATGGGAACAAATATGCATCTCTTCCAGTCAGTTGACCCAGTATCCGCCTTCTAGCTTTCTTCGCACAACCTGATGAGTGTGTCCAGGGCTGCATCTTTTTTTGTTGAAATGCATCAATCAGTATTCCATCAATTCCTGAGGCCTTTTTTTTTTCACCAGTTTCTTCAGAGCACCTTGAATTTCCTCCTTCATCACCATTGCTTCTTGATCATATGCTGTATGTTTAAATTCTTCAGTATCAACAAATTCTTTTTGACATTGACCACCTTCCATCTCCTTTGATGATTTCTGGATCATTCAGTGTTCTGCCCAAAGCACCTTTAAATATTGCAACTCAAAGCTGGACTCTATTCTTGAATTCCTTCAATTTAAGAAATGCCGAGTGAGTTTTTCCCATTGGATTTTCTATCTCCAGCTCTTTGCACATTTCATTAATAGTATTTTGCTATGTCTTCTTGAGTTGCCCTTGGACATCTTCTGTCCAGCTCCTTAACTTCCTGATTTCTTTTTGATTTGGCTTCTCATCCATCTAGTACAATATTCAGAGTCTCTTCTGACATCTGTCTCAATCTTCTCTTTTTCTGCTTTAGTAATGACCTTTTGTATTCTTCATGGTTGATATACTTTATATTATCCCACAGCTCTACTTGTTCATTAGTATTTGAGACTTCAACCCTATCTTTGAAATGACTCTTAAATCGAGGTGGGATAAACTCAAGGTCATATTTTGGTTCTCATGGATTTGTTTTAATTTTAACTTTTTTTCCCTTTTTAATTCTATCTGTCTGTCTGTCTATCTATCTATCTATCTATCTATCTATCTATCTATCTATCTATCTATCTATCTTTACTGTACCGCTAGTCGACAACATGGTGGATGGAGAGAGAGTTTGAAATTCGCAGCCGCTTCATCTTACTTGGAACCACAGTAAACACCCGTGGTACCAGCAATCAAGAAATTAGGTGACATATTGAATTGGGAAGGTCTTCAGTTAGGGACATTGCCAAATTATTGAGGAGTAATAATGTCAGTTTGAGGCTTGATTCATGCATGATCTTTCTGATCACTTGTTATACATCTGAGAGAGGGACAGTAAATAGGGATGAAAGAAGAAGAATTGATGCCTGTGAGTTGTGGTGCTGGAGAAGAGCACTGAACATGCTGTCGACTGACTGCCAGAACAAATAAATAGGACTTGGAGAGGGTGCAGCCAGAGTGCTCTTTGGAGACAAGAATGAAGAGGCTTCACCTCACATACGTTAAGCATGTTGCTAGGAGAGTCTATTCCTTGGAGAGGGACATGAGGGTGGAGGGTCGGTGAAGGAGAGAAAGACCTTCAACCAGGCGGCCTGCCATGGTGACTGCCGCTATGAGCTCTCATGTCAGGAAATGTGAAGATGGCACAGGATGGAATGGAGTGAAGACCAGCTGTTCACAGGGTCGCTATGTGTCTGACTTGACTCCATAGCCCCTAAAACAACAACAGTAAGCTGTATGCCTTATAAGACAAAGTATAGATATTAATTAACAATGAGAAGATAGAAGCATAAAGGTGTGTTTCTTTTTCACTACAGTATTTGCTGAGCTCCTTCTGCATGTGTGCCTTTTTGCTACTTTGGAGGCTAATGTTAAATAAGCAGAGGGATTCTTTGGAAGATTTTTTTCTTTTTCAATCTAAGTGTGGTGAAATATAGACATTAAAATGTTTGCTAACACAGCAAATTACATTTTATAAAATTATTGCATTTTTCAGTCAGTAACAATAATTGCATTTTTCATGTTGTGTCACTGCAATTAATATCCTTTTCTAAAATATTCCCTCTCCATTAACAGAATCAGCACTTCCCTTTTCCTTTTTTTCCTCAGTATTGGTAATCATTTATGATCTTTAGTTTCAGTATAATTGCTTATTATAAAAGTAGGATCATATGCTATTTTCTTCAACTCACCTGTTTGCCACTGAGCCAGAATTGATGATATCTGACCCTTCAGTGAGTTAGGATGTATTTGTTTTGTTTTGTATTAGTGTTTTTAAGGCTTATTCATGGTGTAGCATGCATTACTTTTCCTTACAGCTGCATAAATTGTGTGGGTTTGTGTTTATATGTATATATTACATACATGTATTATGTGTACATATACTGTGTTTCATCTTTTTTCCCCCCCTTCTCATTGTGTACCATCAAGTTGGATCCAACTGGCACAGGAGGAGATTGCCCCTCCTTCTCCAGTGAAGCATCTGGTGGATTCGAACTGCACTCCTTCAGGATTGCAATGTAGCTTCTTGCCCCTAGGCCACCAGAGATCCTTTCCATTCATCTTTTGATGGACATTTTAGTTGTTCCTATTTTTAATCTGCAATGTGCACTAATGCACATGTTTCTGTTGTCATGGTATTTGCATTTTTGCCATCATTTCTCCTGGATATATACCAGGGTTGAGTTTGCTTGATCATGTGGTGGTTTTCTATTTAGCCACCCTTTGAAAGCTGTCAGACTCTTCCACAATGATGATGTAGTTATCTGCTCACATCTGCAATCAATAAGAATTCCAGTTTTCCCCTCCCAGTGGGTACAGGGTAATGTCTGGAAACATTGATTGAGGGACAGGAGAGCCTTAACTTCTGGTCATTTAGTGAGTAGAAGCTATGATATAAGCTGTCAGATATAAAGTACAGAATGACTTGCATAATGAAAACCTTATTTAAATCAAAATATCAGTGGCTTGAATTTGAGAAAAGCTGCTGTAAATAAAAATTCTGGCTCATTGATTAGATTTGTGTTCCATCACAGTGGTAGATAGTTGTTGTTGTTGTGTGCCATCGAGTCACTTGCACCTCATAGCGA